AAGGGGAGGCACAAGGAGCCAGAGAGCAGCCTGGCCACCGGCTCTTGTTGCAGACACAGACTACGTGACGGCACTGTGCTCCCAGGTGGTGTACGAGGGGCTGGTGGACGACACCTTCCGCATCAAGTGTGGTAGGTTGCTGGGGCAGGTGAAGGGGTGGTGTGGGGCTCCGCACCCACATGGGGAGAGTCTCCAGGGTTTGTGCCTGCGTACTGCAACCGAGGCTGTTCCCCACAGGGACAGTCCTGGTCTGGGATGCAGCTGCAATTGTCCATGAGGACAGCCTTGGTCTGACTGAGCATCTGGGTGCACATCGCCTGTCTCTGCTGCCTTTTGCAGCAGGGCTGACACATGCAGAGATGTCACTATTGCTGGGGCAAAGCAGCTCTTCATCCTTCTCTGTAGGGAGCGTGGATTTTGGGCCAGACGTCACCTCTTCTGACAAGAGTATTAAGGTGCTGCTCAATGCCCAGGACAAAGTGAGTCCTCGCGTGCCTCGGGGGAAGCAGGTCTGCCTGTGCTCCATGCCCAGGTGGCACCGGGAGGAGGCTGAGCAGGGCATTTCCTGAGCAGGGGATGGCCGAGTGCTGCTGGGCCTCAAAGCGCATGTTGGCATGGGTCGGGGTACAGAGGCCAGAGAAACATGGTCTGCATGCGCAGCTTGGCTCCTGCAGTTGGCAGAGTCCTGTGTGCAGGGGCATGTGCTGGCCAGTTGGAATTTTGGGGCACTGATCTCCATGGCACTTTGTCTTGCTGCTGTTCAGGCCACTGGCAAGCATCAGCTCTGGGGGCTGTGGCTGGCCAGGCCCCATGCTGGCACAGAGGAGTGTGAGGCCTGGCGCCGACTGCTGTGGTGCTCTCTGCAGGTCTTCAGCCAGATTCGGAATGAGCACTTCTCCAGCGTGTTCGGCTTCCTGAGCCAGAAGTCACGTAACCTGCAGGCACAGTATGACGTGAGTATCACCCTGGTGTGTGGGACAGCAGCGGTGCCGCCCCTGCGCAGCTGGGTCACCTCCCTGTATACTTTCTTCTGCAGCGGCGCCGCAGCATGGACATCAAGCAGATGAAGAACTTTGTCTCCCAGGAACTGAAGGGACTAAAGCAAGAGCATCGCCTGCTGAGCCTGCGTAGGAGCCAGGGCTGGGACAGCACCGAGGGAGAGGCCCTCAGCCGCTGCAGCGGGTGCCTGGGCTCCCAGGGAGAGCAGGGGAGGTTGAAGGGCCCTGCTAGTCCCCAGGAGGGGCAGATGATCTGAGCAGTGGGCAGGGTAGCAGAGGCTGTTAGTTTGTGCAAGGGTCTGTAGTGGGGCTGGCGGACGAGCTATATGTGGAGCCTGCTACTCCTCCAAAGTGGCTGTTTTTCTTGGCTGTGCAGATATTGGTGCCTGCGAGTCCATCATGAAAAAGAAAACCAAGCAGGACTTCCAGGAGATGATCAAGGCTGAACATTGTGAGTGCTGTTCTCTGTCCCACATCTCTTGCTACCCCTGTCCCAATCCTTACTCCCCCACCCTCTGCTCCGACCCACTTGCCCCAGGCCTGGGCAGCCTCACACCTGGTGCCCCCTGCATGACCACAGTCCTTCCAGACTATGTATTGGGGTGGGTCTTGAGATCCTAAATAGGGTCAAGTTGCATCTTCAGAGGGCTGGCTGTGGTGGGGAAGGAGGCTCAGCATTGCAGGCTTGCCCCGTTCTCTGGGGCTCAGGAAGGGAGGGTGAGCCCAGACTCCAGCTCGGTTAGCTGGTGAGAGCCCTGGGGGTGGGCAAAGTGATACTGCCTCTTGCCCCGCCATAGCTCTGCTGGAGGGCTTCGACATCCGTGAGAGCACCAGCTTTATAGAGGAGCACATTGACCGGCAGGTAAGACCCGTGCCAAACCGGAGCGATGAGCTGCTCCAGCTGCCCTGCACTGCTGCAGGGATGCGGGGGCTGCAGGTGGCTCACCGCCTGCTCCCATGCAGGTGTCCTCCATCGAGAGCCTGCGCCTGATGTGCCTCCTGTCCATCACGGAGAACGGTGAGGTGTCTGGCTGTGCTGGGCAGGAAGGAGTGGCAGTGGGGCTCTCCAGCCTTGGCGCAGAGCTCACCCTGCTGCTCCCACAGGTCTCATCCCCAAAGACTACCGCTCCCTGAAAACGCAGTACTTGCAGGTGAGTCTATAACGGGGGACCACAGCAGAGCAAGCATTGCATCTGGCTGGGCTTCCCCTCTCTGCCTGCTGCTCACCACGAGGCGCTGGGCAGCAGTACTCGACAGGGATGCTCGGGCTGGCTCCGCTGGACAGCCCCTGCCTCCACAGGCTCTGCACGAGCCC